ACGAGTCCATGAAAGAACTCGACGAGTAGGATTGGGACTTCAAGGTTCTATGGATTATGGAACTCGATGAGTTGATGGACCAACTCAGCGAGTTGAGTCAACCAGGACGTTGACTTTGACCAGGATGTTGACCTTGACTTTGACCATTGACCGGAGTTGACCCTTAAAGGGGTTATGAGTATGAAAGGGTAATTAAAGGAGATCATTATGTGTAGGAGTTGATCCTAGAGCCTAGGACAATACAGCTACTACACGACATTCGAGGTGAGTTACCTTCCAGTAGAAGTGGGTCTAAGGCCACAATGTCGGCCCACTAGTAGGAGTTGTTGTTAGATGATTGTTTTTGTGTTAATTGTCTCGTATGCCACTATCTGTTATGTTTTATGTGCTAGTATGGTATGATGTCATGTGATAGTGGTAGTAGGGGGAATAGTCCTCGTATCCGGTCGAAAGGACCAAATGGGTAGGTCGGGCACCCCGGTATGCCTGACAGTATGCTTATGATATGTTATTATGTGGTAGTGGTAGGGGTGAAATAGTCCCCGTAACCGGTTGAGATAAACCGGAAGGGTAGGTCGTATACCCCGATATGTCTGACAGGGGTAGGTTAGGCACCCCGACATGCCTAACATGGGTAGGTTGAGCACCCCAGTATGCTCAGCAGGGTAGGTCGTGCACCCATATATGCCTGACAGTATGTTTATTGTATGGTATATGGTATGATGAGGGAACTCACTAAGCTTCGTGCTTACGGTTTACAGTTTTTGTTTCAGGTCCTTCTTCTTCGAAGGGAAAGGAGTCGGTACGGTAGCATATGAGATTCTTGGGATTTGTACACTGACATTGTTACTATGTTATGATATGCTTTTGAGACTTATGATCTATGGTTTTTATGAAATGAATTAACTTGATGATGTTCTCTATAAAAATGTTTGATGAATCGTTATGTCAAAAATGAAATTTTTGGTCATGATTTTTGGGATGTTACATAAGCATCCTTGATCTGTTCTTGAGAGAATTTCCCTGATTGAAAACTTTTTCCTTTTCCTTCCAACCAGTGATTGATATTCTTCACATTTGTTTTCCCTTTAACAAATGACGCTTTAACTGTTTGTTTCGAAGGTGGGTTTGGAAACTTGGGTTGTTCTGGCTTAAAAGATTCATGTCTTCTCCCTTGAACCTTCAACTTGTCAAAATTTCTTGATGGTGATTTTGTTGAAACATGAGGTTGAAATCGATTTTGAAAATGATTTCGATGCCCAACTTTTGATCTTGCAAAAACTTTTGTGAATTCAAAAATTGATTTTGATGAGAAACATGATGATAATTCTGATGTGCATTTGATTGAAAACCTCGTCTTTGAAAATTGTTTTGTGAAAACCTTTTATTTTGATAATGTTGATCAAAATTATTTGTTTGTTGGTGTTTTTTACATAATTCTCATGATAAGAAGTTTGAACATTTGAATTCGAAATTGTTGCTTTGGTTTTGGAAAAATCTTTTTGTGATTGAGTAGGTTTTGAATTTGGTTTGTTTTGAACACCAAATGATTTTTGAGTTTTTGTCTTAACAGAATCAGTCGTTTTCTTTTCAGACATTTTGATTGAAGCACGTTGTTTCTTTTTAGTTTCATAATCCTGCCAATAAGCTTTCTTTCGAGCTTTGTGCATTGAAATTCCATTTTCTTTAGACATTTTCAAAATATCCTCATTTGAAATTTAAACTTTTTGATTGTGTTTTTCAAAAACATTGGCATTTGTTTGTTTTTCAACCTTTGATTTTTCAATTTTAACAGCCCAATTTCAACTTGGTTTTTGTCGCTGAAAAGTGGATGAATTTTTATTGAGATTATTTGCAACAGTGCTTTGATTTGAGAAAAATCCTTCCTTCGAAGCTTTCTTGTTGTCCTCTTCAACAATTTTGTTAACTTCAGGTTCAACCTTCTCTCCATTTCCAGTTGTGACAAATACTTGATTCGGAAAAACGACATTATCAGTGCACTTGAAGGTTGGATATATATCAGAATTTGGTTCAAGATAATGAGAACCCTTTTCTTTCAGGATTTTGTCGAATTTCTCTGTTTCTTCGTAGACCTGTTCAACAACAACTCGGGGAATTGTTGTTTCCTTCGAAACTTCTTCATCATCGTCACTATCTGTTTGACTATCTTTGACAGTCACATATTCAGGATCATGAACTTTCGAAGTAGAGGGTTGGTCTTTGTCAACTTTAACCGAAGAATCATCACATTTTTCTTTACCCTTAGCCATTAAAGTGACATTAATGACAGAAAATTGAGAACAGTCAACAACTTCTTCCTCCTCAATTTCACTAATATTGTCAGAATCATCTTCGATATCAGCAAAATTGTTTTGAGAGTTAGATGTCGAATTCTCAGTTCTTTTCAAAATTTTGATTTGTTCGTTTTTGGTCAAGGTCTTATTTACAATATCAACTAATTCATTTGCATCTAAACATTTCATCAATTTTCACAATCCCATATGGATATCTATCATCTGGAACCCTATCAAACTCAGAGATTGTTTTCTCACAATCATAGGAAGTTGAATCAATCTTCTCCCTTTTAAATGCTAAAAAGGGCAAAAGTTTCCTATGTTGCTCTTTACTTATGTCATAGGAATGATGTAAAACATTTATTTTAGCATATAATTATCTTGCAGTGTTACAATAGATGTTTCTCTGCTTCAACAAGTCCCTAGCATCTGCACTTAAGCTATCCCTATCACACATTATATTCGTAATTTGTAAGTCTAAATGTTCTATCTTTGCTTTCTTCGACTCCAAAATCCTTTGTATTTCTAGCAGTTGAGTACTAGATCTTTTAGCATCATTACTAGCAGAGTTAATTAGATCATTAACATAAGTAATTGTAACATCAAACTCAGATAAAATTGAATCGTATGCACTAGAAGGAATGTTAAATGATTGCAAAAGAGAACGTACCTGAGATGTCATGGGTGACTTGTGAGTTGAAGTCAAAACAAAGCACTTTCCAGTGAATTTCTCTTCCTCCTCTTCTTCATACTTCATGAACATGGCCCCATGTGTTGGGTTTCACATTTCTTCATCATCAGAACCTGAGGACCAGATTTGGTAGGTTCCCTCTTCTTCATCCATACCCCTGGCCACCAGTGACATCCCCTTCGCTTTTGCTCTTACCTTTTCCAATCTCTCCACGTAATAAGCTTCATCTTTGACTTTGTTCTTCTTTTCATCCCTCTTTCGCAACATGCAATCATTGGCCATATGATTCGCTCCATTACAATAATGGCAGTCGAATCCAGAATCACCTTTAAGCTTTTTCTCAACTTTCGCTTCTCCAGACTTGATCTCCTTCTTCTCTACTTTCTTCTCTTCACCTCCATACTTAGTAGCAAAACTTACTTTCGCATCACTTGCACGAGACTTCGAGTTAAAAGGCTTTTTGAAAAACTTCTTTACTCGGTTGTTTGAGTAAAAAGCTACAACTTCATCATATGAGTTAACAATCAGGCCTTCATCTTCCGAATTCTCTTTTTCAGCTATTTCTTTTTCAACCTCTCTTCCAGCAACTTTCGAAACCAAAGCAAGTGGACCACCAAGACTGTTCTTCGATTCCTTAGCAATTTCGATAACTTCAGACTCATGTGCTTTCATCACATTGTAAAGATCATTCAAAGAGAAATAATCAAAACTTTGTTGAGTCTTTATCATGAGACTAACATTTCGCCACTCTTTGCGAAACCCCATAATGAATGTGAGACTGAACTCCATTGACGACCTTGTGATCTCATATCTATTGCACTTGTATATGAGTTCATTCAGACGATTATAGTACAATTCAATGGATTCTCCTTCTTTTTGCTTAAACTCTCTTAACTCCAACAGACAGTGTTTGACTGTATTGATTTTGTTTTCTCACTGCTCTGATACTTTTCCTTCAAAGTATCCCATATCTCCTTTGAGGTTTTGCAGCTACGAACATAATTGTATACGACAGGTGGAAGAGCACCACGGAGTTCTCGCATACATCTCTTTTCATTTTTCAGCAATCTTTCAGTTTGTTCATTAACATTTGGATTTGTAGCAGAAGTTCCAACACTATGAACAACAGAAAGAGGATGAATATCATCAGTGATGCATTTCCAGAGTTCCTCATCAATTCCATTTAAGTAGTCCTCCATACGTTCAGCCCATTGATCGTAGTACTCCAGAATTAACATAGGAATCTTCGTAGATGATCCTAGAAGATGAGAAAAGGAGGTCATGGTGTTCATGTTAAAGTTCACCATTGATGTACGGAATGTTTTTGAGAAAAGCTTCAGGAATTTGAAAATTAATGGATGAATCAACCAGAAAACAGAAATCGAACATTCGAATAAACAATCTAATCGCAGAATCGAATCACTACTGAAGATCTAATAAGATTTTTAGAATCAAAAGTGCGGAAACTTTTGAATCTAGAACGAGACTCAAAATACTTTTGAAACTAGAGAAAATCAAATCAACACATAATGATTCCTGCTCTGATACCAAATGTAGTGTTGATTGAATCGAGTTTGCAATACGAGATCAGAGTAAAGAAATGATTTAGAACACAAGATCTAAATATAATCTGGTTGGCTCAATTTATGCTTTCAGAGAATACAATAGAATACGATAGTACAATGCTAGTATTCACGCTACCCTCTAAACATATATTCATCCCATATTTATAGGGATAAAGAAAGCATACAAAAAATATATGAGACTCGACATTACAATTTCGAAACATAAATGCCCTTATAATAAACTTTACAAACTGAATTTCGACACACAGAATGCTCTAGACATTTTCAACATCTCACAATCACTTTCGACCCCAACATTTGGGCTAAAAAGTGAACCTACCCTAATACACATAGGCTAATAAAATTTTGGGCCCTATTTTGAACTTCCTTGCAAAAATAAAAGTAAGGTCAAAGACACTTGAAGAGAAAGGTCAGGTTCTCTTTTTGCAATTCACTCAAACTCAGGCATATACTTTTTCTAAAGGGGCGATTATCAGATTATGTCGCCATTGTGTATTAAATAGAGATAAGGGTACAGCCATGGACGCCGAGAAGAGCTTGGAGATTTATGAATTCGGTCCCTGTGAAGATTCCTACCAAATGGGTTTCTCCTTTGGCAACCATTTCTCCAACCTCATAAGAAGCAGACTCTCCACGGACTCCATATTCAACCACCAACTTCTCCCTTTCTCTCAAACCCCACAAGCACAGTCCCTCCTCCATTCTCTCTCCCACAACAATTCCACCAAGTTCCCAGATTACTGGAACGAAATGCGAGGAATCGCAAATGGATCTGGAGTCCCTTTTCTTCATGTACGCAAATTTATCTAATACATTTTCAATTTCCCCAATTCCGATTACAAAACGAGCGATTATGTTGTGTGTGTCAGATTATGATATTAAACTTCCGGAAAGAGATTCTCCCGTTCATCCCAAAGTCAGAAAAAATTGAAGATGAAGAGACGATTGATGACTGTTCAGATATTCTTGTTGTTAGTGATACAATGGCTGTTGCAGCTCATAACGAAGATGCTAATGTCGCTCTTGTCGGCCATACGTAACCTCAAACTCTATAAATCCTTGTAACTGTTCATCTTTTGCTCGATTATTGATCCCCAACTTTATGACCATTGCAGATATCTGATTAAAGCAACACTATCTAATGGATTATCTTACACAGCTTACACATACGCAGGCGAGCTCCCAAGCTGCGCATTTGGTTTTAATAACCATGGTCTGGTACTGAATTACTCAGCCTCTCACTTATACATCATCACACACGCAAAAACATTATTCAAAGCTGATAAAAATGGCACTTTTGTGTAGGCGTTTACACTAAACTCGGTACCACCAGCGGAATCAGAGATTGTAGCTGGTGGGATTGGCCGGAACTTCATTTCTAGAGACCTTCTTGAAGCTAGAAGCATCGATGATGCAATTACTGTAAGTTTCAGCATTTCAGGTTTCTTTAGATCAAATCTTTGACTTTTTTCTGGTGTGTTTTGACTATATCAAGGCTTTTTGACAGAGGATTCGTTCATCACAAGTTTCAATCGGGCATAGCTATAATTTATTTGATGTAAACTTAAGAAAGATCCTGAACGTTGAGACTGCATCAAGTCAACGAATCTCAGTTCATGAAATCGGGTCAACCCCTTTCTTCCATGCCAATATGTACCTTCATCTTCAAGTTAACCAGGTACACGATCAGAACTCAATAAGCAGACAAAACCGAGCAGCTTTGCTTCCCAAAAAGTCAAAGGTTGACCTTCTTTCACTCCTTGGAGACACAGGTGATGAAGAGTATCCTATCTATATGCAAGGTACAATATTTAAACATATTTCAATGTATATAACAATTACAATTCTATGTTTTTGTTTTCTAATTGCATGTTTTCAGGTCCGACTCTTTACACCCTATGTACGGCTGTGATTGATTTGGATGAAAGAACAATGACAATAATCAAATCCAATCCAAGAAAAGGCGTAGTCTCGTATGTTTTCATGATCGATAAACGCTCATAATTCTTTGTCTATTTGATTGTTTTGACAATTTTGTAAGGAATGTAAGCATATTATGGTATTGAAAACTGGAAAACATGTTACAATGATATGTAGATTATGCACACGGAAAAAGAAAAAGAAACAGATAATACGTTTAGAATGAGATCTTGTTAGATTTAACCCGAGTGCCCGATCTTTGACCCCGCGTTCGTGCTTCGAGTAGCTTTGACTTTAAGCTCGTTTGGTCCTTTGACTCGGGTGTGACTTTTGACTTTGACTCGGAAATCTCAAGATCTTCTATGGGTAGCTTCGTGGTCCATCCTCGAACAGGGCTCGGTTGACTTTCCCACACGGGTTTACTACCAGGGGCATCGAAGTCATTTCCCGTTTGTAAATAGTGGTTTTTTAGTAAATTATCCAAGTATTTCGAGTTCAAACCGACCTCTTCTTCGGTTATTTCTACATGGTTTTCCTCTTCGGTTTTTATTTTTGTCTCTTCTTGACCTGATATCGCCTGAGCCATTTGTTCTTCAAACTTGACCTGCAAGCTAGAAGAATCACGACCTTTTCCGGTTACTTGGGTCGCAAGTTTCTTCTTACCGTGATCCGGTTTCGTAGTTGAGTTTACGATTTCGCCCTTTCCACGGGCAACCGGTTTATCGAGCTCAAAACAAGGTGAATCACCACCATCTGAAGAACCATCGTCACCATCATCAGGAGGAGCACTAGCCGCCAAATTCAACGCGATCGACTCGAGCGAATGCCGCCTTCGAGCCGTGGGTCCCACCACCGATCCCGACCCCCTTGAAGTGTTTCGTTTCGCATCAAGGAAAGTTTCAATTTCTGAACTTAACTTTTCAACTACCGAGTTTTTTTTCGTAGTTTTTTCTTGATTTGTTTGCATTCGCTCATCGAGCCACGATTCGGATATATGGAGAATCAAACCGTCACGTGCCGCTCTTTTATCGGGGTTTATATGCTTAAAGTTATGAAATTCTTGTTCATAGTTTTTAATCCCCCAAGCGAATTCGTCGCAAAGATCTTCCAAAATTACCCTTGATCGCCTCTCGTTTTCCAAGTCACGTAACGCGTTTGCGAGGGTCGTTTTTGTCTCGTAGAGCTCCCGAGCCAATTTCCTATGAAGTGTCTCCGACCGTTTTCGTAATTTTCTTTCATCTTCAAGCTCGTCTCTCACGGATTGACCTTGTTTATCTTGTGTAATTTGATTCATAAGATGTTGCATTTCATGGCGATCAGATTGTCTGTCCCGGGCCAGCTCTTTGATTTTGGCCCGTGACAGGTCTAGTTCGCGTTTTAAAGCGCGAACTAGGTTTACGTTTGTTGTGTGTTGTTCTTCGAGAGTCCAAATTCGGTTTAAAACTTTAAGAAGCTCTGTGGATGTTTTCAGATTGTAATTTGTTTCTCCGTTTCCTCCTTTGAATTCTATAGAACTTGTGGGAGTGACAGCTGGATTGTAAGGTGCGACCTCCATTGAACTACTTCCATAACTTGCAGGTGAGACTGCTCTAATGGCGGTTTGGTTTCTTTGAGTCGTCCGGTGATGTTGCATCAGTGATGCCGCCACGTGTCTTCTCAAAGTACTAGCACTCCCCTGCATTCATTGTAAATCATATTGATAGTATTAATTTTGGTGAAACAAATGATCGAGAACACCTACAGCAAGCTACGGCCACCACCCCGTTAGGGCGGCGCCACCAGTTAACAAACAAGAGTATTCCGATTTTGGTTAGGATTTTGGGAGTCTCAGTTGTCAAAAGGTACCGAAAGTAATTTCTATTTTTTCGTGAAATGTTAAGGTATTAAAAGCTTCTAACTTATGTCGATAACCTAAATGGCAAAATTCATAATTGAAATGGGAATAAATGTGATCCGAAGAATTCTGAAATAAGGAAAAGACACTTCAATTATCATTAAAGGGAATGATCCCCACCATCCACCACACATCGTAATCAAGAATTCAGAAAATCCATCGATGGATAAAGTAAATCAACAAAGTTTGCATATCAGATCCATTAACAAGATAGAAAGAAGCGTGATAGAATCACGACAATCAAGATTTTAAGAGGTAAAGCATAAAGAAATGATTTTTACCAGATCAGGGGAAGCAGGGGAAGGATCATGGTTATCCTCGAGAAGATGATGCCGGAGGTGATGATGGTGATGGTGTTGGAGCTGCTGATACCGGTGGTTCCTCCTGTTCCCTCCGCCTCCACCACCGTTGTGCATTTTAGCAAAAGGAAGTCTGTACTGGTGAAGCTCCCAAAAAGTGGCAGCTAGCTTTCTAGCAGAAGCAGAAGAAGGCAAAGAAACTGTGAGACTCAAACCAGGGTTTTCTTCCTCCTCTACTACCAGCTCTCTATCTTGCGCACCGCCGACGCTATCTTGCGCACCACCGTTGCTGATTTGAACAGGGAAGGGCAAAACAGGGGTGAATTGTCCGCCTCTTTTGCCTGCTATTCTCCTTAATTTTTCCCCTAAATTTTGTTGCTTTTTGGGTGGTGGCTCCTCCTTCTCCTCTCCCCCACCTTTTTCTTCTCCTTCTTCACCCCACTTTTTCATCTAACTTTTTCAACTTTCTCTCTCTACCCACCACCAACTTTTCTCTCTCTTTGAATTTTTGTTTTTGTTTTTTGTTTTGTTTTTTTTTATTCTGAAGAGGAGGGTGGCTTCTTTTTCTTCTGTGTTGTTCTTGTTCTTCAACAGTGTGGAAAATGGAAATGTGGTCTAATCATATCTGTGTGGCCTGTGGGGCCCATGGGTTTTCATGGCGAAAGGTCCCAAACGTTGGTTTTAAATTATGGAATTGTGTGGGGGTGTGGGGTTCGTCCTATTTTATGCCGTGTCTATTTGTCTGTTCATTACACCTTGACAACGATAAGTTCAGTATAATCAAATAATCAATCTTTTTCTCACTTCTTTACATTATTCAGAAAGATTGTTTTGGTGCGTTATCTTTTGTCAACCACGCGCTACTATCCGTTATCGATTATTGGTAAAGTTGTTTAAACCTCTAATATAAAAATTAGAAATCAATTGATTTTTCTTTTATGATATTGATAATGAGGCTTCATCATTGATTCGTTTGATATTTATTAGATTCATTGTATATATATGTCTTGAACATCTTTTTTTCTTTTTTTAAAAAACTTTTATTAGCAAGATATAATAAGTGTAATTGATCCCGTAATCTTAATTCTATCGATCCAACAAGATTATGGGCGTGTTCGGTCGCAAGCATTTAAGAGTTTTTGGGAGCTTTTACCTTTTAACGAAAAGCTTAAATTAAAGAAAAAACGCAACATGAACTTAAAGTTTTTATTTTAAACAAAAAAAAATATGAATCCAAAAACTGTTTCAACTAACGTTTAGATTGCTTGTTGTTATAAAGTCATGACCAGTGTTGTGTGATTTTTGTGTTCGTTATCGATGGATTATGATGAAAACCACATATCATTATAGAAGGATCGGCACTAATGAGCAGCTACCCATATGTGTCTATGATGTCTTACAATCGCAAGCACCTTGTGTGCGGGTTTCCCCTACTCTTCCCATTATTTTGGCTTATCATGTGTGGATGACTCCCTTTGTTGAGTTTGGGTTAATTGTTAGATGTGTTGTGAGGATACTTAAGAAGGGATGTTATTTCACTCACTTGTATTATTTTACTGTTTTACATATCATGCAGTTATATGGAGTCAAAACATATATGTCTCAAAGACATTTTAGTTTAACTTGTTATTTGATGTGTGTCTCGGTTAACACTAGTAGAGATACGCACAGTCAGGATAAAACTATGTTCAAATTGGGCAAAAAAAAAAAAAAAAAGAATATCACAGACACAGAGCATTGTTCTTAAGTGAACTACATTTGTTTAAAAATCCCTAGACTTAAACTTAGATACTTAAGTTATGAACCAATGAGGAACTTAAGCAGTTGGAATTGAGCAAGGTCGGCGATTAAGTTACTAACCATCATTTTCATCATCTTTATCCATTTTTTGGAGGGTGTGAGCACGTATACTAATAATAAGTCATATTTTGGATCTCTTAAGATATCAACAATACGAACCTTGTACTTTGCTTATTTTCTTGTGTATACGAATTTAACAATTTTAAGTGTCTACTGTGAAATTACCATAGAAAATTATTTATGGTGTCCCTACAACATAAGGGACAAATAAGTTTTGGAAAAATAACTATCCAACCCTCAATTATACCAGTTTGTATTTATAAACGGACCCCATGCATGTTTCACCCACCGAATATCCAACAAATAGTTTTAAAAAAAAAATGATTCCGTTATATCATAGGCATAGATATAGATATGTTAAGATTTAAGAACACAAGTTGTTGTCCATGGTGGCCCCCAAGAATGGCTCACAGCCATAATTATACGACCCAAAGCCCCATTCAAAATCCGGCTCATGACCCAACCCAAAAAGAAAAAGATCACTTCACCAAAAGCCAAATCTTGAAACGGGTAAAAAATGGTGACATGGTGCACCCCATGGGTCCTATGCCAGACCTGACCAGACCCTCACCATTTCACATTTTGTCAAATCACTACACATGGGTTCACCAAACCAAATAACAAGACAGACAAAACAACTGTTTTTAATTCAAGATTTTAAATACCCATTAAAACCAACAAGAACGCATATGTTTTCCCAGAAGAAAAAAAAACGAACATCAGATCAGATCATGTATAGTAATAGAAGCAAAAATCGAGATTTTTAAAAAAACAAGATGAAAAATTTGTCTCGACAACAAACCTCGATTCTTACAGATACTGAAGTCGAGGTTCAAAGCAAAATCCAGAAAAGATTTCAAGAGGAAACTTCTTATGCATCATACACCTTTGAGACCAGAACCATTGTCTTTTATCCATATCATACACAAGCAAAGCTGTCCCACCATAACTCTGTATATATATGAGATCACCACCACCACTGCTAGCAAACACATCATCTAATTCCCCAAAACCCTGCACAAATTTATGAGGCATTCTGCTGATTTCCATCCATTCCTTCCCATTCAAAACCCAGATCCCAATTCCCTTAATTACCCCTGGTCTATCCTGTCTCCCAATACCCCCAACAAGCACAAGCTTCCCTTGAACACTCATCAACCTCCCACAAGTAAGCACACAAGGTGCTGTAATTACCGATTCCTCCCTCAAAACAGATTCCATTTTGTCAAGATTGTAAGTTATTAACCCATGAGAGTTCTGAAAATCAAATCTCCTTGTGCAAAAGACCATAATGTACAAAACATTGTCACATATCACACTCACGTCCCCTGGTCTCCACCCGTGCATAGTCATCCCCATCACCGGGGTTAACCATGTCTTTTCGTTTGAGTTATAAACATGAATACAAACATCCCATAACAAGAAATCAACAGAAGATTGAATTGACCTGATGACAGAGATTGTGTATTTTGAGTTTGACTGGTCCGCGGAGAATGCTAATGCGGTATACACGGAAAAACCGAGGTTTGGTGGGTTTTTGATAGTCTCGTATTCGCGAGAAATAGGGTTACAAATGTACATTTCTTTACTGGTTTCATCATCCATGAAGCAGACAAGCCCAGATGATGGGGCTATGTGCCATGTGTGATGCACCATGAATGGGAGCTCAAAGTTGTACCATTTTCGGAGACCCGAATCGTAAAGATAACCCACG